CGARGGGAAAAAATAGGAACGAATTCTTACCGAAAAAAATATAGAGATGGTGCACGTTTACCGACGAGTATATTATAGTGAGTACGTGCTTATGCGTCATGGGACGTGGGCACATAAGCGGTTCATAAAATACCGAGAGAAAAATAAAATGTAATCCGATTACTCGAAGGGTAGTCTTTACTCTTTTATAACGTTATAATTTTTAATCAGTTCAGAAGCCGGCTAATTTTTCAGCCGTGATAAAAGTCTTCATTATCCTCGATTTTTGACCGAGCTTCGAGCATCAGAAATATAATAATATTATTATTAACGTGTGTACAAATGCAGTGTAGTTGTATGAATACTCGACGAGAGGTACATCGCAACTGTATAAATTGTGTTTTTTTTTTTTGTAATAAATATGTGATTTTGAAAAATGTTCAATAATATTATATTATATACCGTTATGGATGTAAATTCATTTGAGTGATAATATTATACTGAATCGGATAAGTACTATCACGAGCAGCGCACTAGCGTGTGATGTTTTGACTTTTACTAGGTCACAATTTGATATACTTTATATATCTCACATTAAAAATGCGTTTAATAGTTATTTTATATTTACTGTTTGGAAAGTCGACTGGACGGTTCACTTTGTACATCACGCTGGTCATTAAAAAATTTCTCATTTTAGCGTGCTCGAAACGGAGCGTAAGGTAGTAAAATTTTGAAACCTATATTAATATCATGTGACTGTCGCATTTTGTTTGCCCTAAACATCTATATTTGTATTAATTGGTAAACTATTACGAATACAGGGAGAAAGCTGCGCCATTCGTCTGTATGTAGGTTAATCGAAATAATTTCTCGTTAATATACCATATCGTAATACATATTATACATGCTAAATATATCATATTTTAAATGTTATGCCGTCGATTCCGAGAGACGCAGCACTAGTCAGAATAATCTAAGTATATAAATATCAAGTGCTATAATAATAATTATAATGCCTTTGTACGCTCAGATATTATGTAAAATTCTAAGAACAACTTGGTAATATTTCATAATAATTAATTTAGAATTATAAAAATGTTTTCTGTGTATCATAGTACATATATGTACAATAGTTAAAYGTCYMGCAACAACTCCGYAATGCGCTACAGCTCACCTAACCCTAACCCAATCAGCATAATATACATATTGTGCAYGGTCAATTATGTTTTAATATTATTTGGATTGGTGTATAAGAATGATAGGATTTTCACTGGCTWCGATTTATGTACATGACAGTTTGGTAAAAAGTTGAAAAAAATTTAACTTAAAATGCTTATATCCATATACAGTGAAAACTCTCTATAACGAATCTGAAGGGACTATGTGATTTCTTTCGTTATTGAGAGGTTTCGTAATAGAGAGTAATTTATTAATAGGTTTTAAATCAAAGCAACCATTATAAGTTAGCTTAATGTTATTTATGTGATATAGAATTKTTCGTTGTAACGAGTTTTGTTATAAAGAGTTATTACTGTATATACATATTATATATTGTATATCAATATATCTATTTTAATTTTTTTATTGAAATGAATCTACAATCTATACATATTCTTTGTACAATATTATGAGTACCTAGGTTTGATAAGCGACAAACAAAAATAAATAACATGAATCGTATGATTGGAGAGGATACCGAATGGTAACACCCTATTAATTATTTAAAAATTCAAAATTGATTAATGTTAAAGAAAATACATTATATTATGTTTAATCAATTTTTAGTCCGAGTGACGGAACCCACGTGACCTACTAAATGTTAACAGCGATTTAGTTCAGTAAACCCATATGTATTATCCCTCTGTTATTTTTAATTCGACATCGTCTATTAGACAATTTTAAGGCTTAAAAATTAAACATGACGTACAATGTGGTGATCGTCAATGGTAAACGAGAAAAACGCATCTCGGTTTAACGAATCAATGGGACAAAGGGTATGAAGACAATATATTAAACTGCGTAGATACTAATGAAACGTGCTTCCTTATTGTGTGAAGCGTCTTTTACAGAAGTATTACTGTAGAAAGGAACTCCTCTACCGCAGCTGATAGCAAAATGACAATAGTTTATACTCTCAAAAGCTTCATGGCAGTCGACTATATAGTTTAATAACACATCTGTATAATTATATATAGACGTAGAGGCCAAATCTTTGGCCAAATATGAACTAATAAATTGGAAACTTTACCYTGTATACAAACTTCATCGAGGTAGTAGATAGGTAGCACGAGTTTGTGGGACKACAATAATGGTCAGTGCCCGGAACTAAAATATTTAGTAGGTATAATATTACACACGCGTGGACAGTAAAAGTAAATATAAAAAACTAATTTTCGATGTTTGAACTGTTCAGTAAAATCTACATAACACTGCAGGCGGCGGGTGGTTTCGATTTAACGGGAAATAAAATACCGAAAAGGTGACAGCAAATTATAAAGTTCGCAACAGCGTTTCGACAATTGTTTTTCCTTTATTGTCGTATTATTCTGAAAAAATAACCGAAGTGTGTGTATAAGTTCAAAAAAGTATTTTATTTTTAAGGTTAAAACTAACGCCGGACTGATAAATATTATATCCTACATAATATAGTATTAAACATCTTCGTATACAAACAAATGAATATAATTTGATATTTACCCTTTATACATTCGTTACAAAGCTTCAAAACTTGCAACTTTTAAACGACACCATGTTCTCATTCGTGTAATACTGGTATATTAAAATTCAAAGCTCAAAAATGCATTTCAAGCCTATCCAATACGCGTTTTATTAATAGTAAAGTTAATGCACGCATATCTGTAATATTGGGATTTTGTGGGGCCGTATATAAACTGTAATGCCTGCGTAAGTATAATATGATATTATTACTCAGTCACGATCAGTAATAACAATTCAATAATTATGCCTTATAGGTACCAAAAAAATCATTTAATAGATCCATCTGTGAATCTTTATGGTTCTATGATATTATAAATGTTATAACCTTAAATATTTTTGACGTACCAGTATACGAGAAACGCTGTTTTTAAATTCCCTTGAATTATTATTTTATTTAATTAAAACTTTATTAACAATCCAGACAAAAAGTTAAGACAATAAGCATATGTGATAACAGCGTATTTTTTTTTATATTTGGCTTAATGGGAATGAGTAGGGTACCCATTCAACAACAGCACCCTTTTATAAGTGTGTTTTTAGTAAGTTCTTTCATGTTTAGATTTGAATTGTTCCATTAGAATTTGAGAACGTCTCGCGGCCATTTCTGTTTGAATTTTCTCAGTAGATTGTTGAGTATAGAGAAAGATTACATACTCTCGATTTGGAGATTTTGAGAGGAGTATTTAAAGTGGATTTTTTGTAATTTCTGATTACCTACTAGTTTTTGGTTTCTAAGACATATAGACTGGACTGGGCTTGTATGGGTCTTATATGAGAAGGCTTTACTTGACCCCAAATTTGGATACCATAAGATCAATGTGGGGTTATGATTGATTTATATATTAAAACTGTATTTTAAATTTTTTTTACGTATGTCACAATAGTGAGTGGATAATATGTAGCAGTGTATTGAAATTGTATTCTCTTACTTTTGAGATTATTTGGCCCATGTAAAACTTTTCACTAGTTAAATTCCTAAAAAATTTGTTTAATTTAATTATTTTTAATTAGAATAGATTTATAGTTTGGCGTTCGTTTTTGCTAAGGTTGATATCTATTAGGACCAATTTACTTTCAGTTTGGAAAAAAGTATCACTCTGACAAAAAAAAAAAAAATATAAGTTTTAAGTTTTAAGTTTAATTTACCTTTAAAATAGCATGAGTATAACTAAATACGTGGTTACTGTAGGTACTACCAATCTATAATTTTAGTTATTTAAAATTATTACTTTTGGTCGATTGGATATTTAATATTATTTTTGAAGAATAAAGAGAATCATTTATTATAGACATTGTTTAGTACACACACACACACACACATATACACAAATATAAAACTCCTATAATCAATCTTACGTTAAAATGACGAGCATTGTACAGAGTATGAACTGATAAAAACCTGGAGTCATATTTATGATACCTATATGATTCGGCTAGTAMAATGTCATAAATAATGTAAAAGCTCTCATGTCACATAGTCTTACCTCCGTTGCATCTATAGGGAGTCGTGGTAGGGCGTCAACTCTCCTTAATGTTTCGACCATTAGTGCGGCAGTGCGTCGGATTCATATTTTGTACTGTTACGTGTGCATTGTATTTAAATGAGCGAGTGCTAAGCATATTCGAAATCGTATAAACGCTCAATAATATTATTATTATTATTACAACTTTGTCAAATGTAATATTCGATTATATTAACGTATCGAAGTTGTCGAACTAGGTAGACAATATTATTACTATAATATAAATTAACTTTCAAAACTAAAAATGATCAAATAAAAACACGCTCAATATAATATTCGGTTTATATTAAAATAAAATTTTTATTTTTTTTTTATGGACCACAGTGATTGAGTGGCAGTAGGATGAAAGTAGGAAAATGACATGATAACATCAACATTATTTAGATATATTACTACATTAACGTAAATATCCAATGGTACATCGTTATTCGTTGACCTTACCTCATAAGTAATTTTTAAAAAAATTACATTTATATATATCAAAAACCTCATTCATATTATTACAATATTACAAACATTTAGAGAAAAAACTAACCAAATCGATTTAGCTATTCTCGGTTGATGCGGTTGTCAATAAACAACTTTTCATTCTATGATATAAAATATCCTTAATCCTAATTTAGGTTATAACCACAAACCACGGCTAAAATATTTGTGTTATAACCAATATTGTGATATAACGCTTATTTTCCTTTCAAATTATGATTTTTCAATACATCGTATCGGATTGTGTTGTTATATTGCTATATTGTCTTTAATCGGCTTAATCTCTTCTTTCAGGTAAACTTCGGCGAGGTGTTCATACCGGTCACACTGGACCCACCCAAACCTCGGATCTTACCAGAGTTTAAACGTTTCGCTCACAGCTTGCGGTCGGGAAACATCAGTATTCTGGACGCGCGGACATTCTACATACCAAATTTACACTACGACGGCTTGGGGCCGGACGCATATTTTTTCGTCGGAAATGGATCGGAACCGTCGCCGTACGGCGTCAAAGTACCGAACGAAGTCGGAAGGTAATACAATGCATGTCATTTCGACGACATTATAATAACTTTGCAAGGCATATAATAATTATAGTTTAACCGACAAGAGAAACACAATAATATCATCCGGTATCGACGATCGATTATTTCTGCGTTTCCGCGAAGTAGGTTAGGAATAATACATATTGTACATATCGGATATAGGTTAAAAAAAACGTTAATATTATTTGGCGCAGACGGTTTTAAAATTCTGATCGAAACCGTTCTGCTTGTCGTCCAGCCGTTTTGGCGTCTTGTTCGAGGGCGTTCAGTAGATTACGAGTGGCCTCGGACATCCCAGGGTCGCGACAGACGTCTTCGTTTCCCGTGGTTAAAAGCATCCGTTCGGCAAGGCTCGAGGTCAGGCGGCCCGGCATGTGATTGCAAGGCCTCGGGCCGGCTGCTGGACTCCCAGATACGATGCACGCCGACGCCTTGTCACAGAGCGACTCTCCAAAAGGGATGATCGAGCAGCCGTCTCCGCAATAATAGAGCATTTCCTGCAGCACACAGTAGTGTTTTATGTATGATCGACGAGGTGATTATTATAATATCGAGTTCGGCCAAAATGATGGGTTTACACATAATAACATACTGCAAATATTTAGTTAACTTAAGACTTTCTTTACATTCGCTACTATCGTAAATCATATAATACTGATATTTGAGTTATTGAGGATATTTATCAAGTTACTTATATMTACTTTGCTTTCGATATATTATTAAATATATTTAAACATTTAGATATATTTATTCAAAGTTCTGATGATTATCATAGTCTATTACAACACTGCAGTTATAATATTGCTCATTATGCATAATGTTTTATATGCATAAACATTTGGTGAGACTGAGACACAATAAATTACTATATATAYACACGTGTATAATATAATACAACCAAGAAGTCATCATATTTAATACTATTATATTGATTAGACTCACTTTTAAACGTCCGCAATACGTTTTGAACTCGCATAGAAATTTTCCTGAGTTCGACGGATACCGACTTAGGTGTTCGAATTTCAACGTACCCGCTTTCAGCTCTTCGAGTGCTTGATTCAGACTCATAATATTTCCTGTGTTTTTAACTAAGCACCTACTCTTGTAACGAAGGTATAATTCCGGGAAACTAATCGCCAAAAATATGACTCTGCGGATTATAGAATACGTTACAACAGTCCACGATAATGTAAAAGACAACAAAAAWAAATTATAATATCTTATGTAAATAATATCACAAACATTAACTGACAACATTTTTTGTTGTTTTATTAAAATAATYACTCATCTGTTTAATATACTTTATATACCTACCGGTTGGGAGCCATTTCGGTAGAATCCAACCATTCGAAATCAGCCCTCGTACGCGGGAAACCCTTGATCACGTAACCATTTTCTACACAATCGTCTTCAGTTAGTTTATCCTAAAACGAAAATATAAACGACTTCATAAAATAATATAACATTYATTTGTTATTTTTTTAAATTGACATTATTATACTCTGTCCGACAAGAAAACACGCCACAGACGACGAAAATGGTTTTCAGCGCATCCCCATCACGCGGCACCCTGTCATAGGAGAAACGGTTTCAATGTTTGCGTGACGAGAGAGTGTGATGTGTGTAAAATCGGCGTATTCTCTCGCTAGACAGAGTATAGATTAGGTTAGGTATATGTTATACAGACTCTTAACCATGTGAGTGCCGTTTCTTCTGCGAGCTTTCTATCACTGGTRACAACTTTTTGATCCAACATTTGATCAAAATCCACTGCACATCGCACACGGTGTATGACAACAGTTGGATATTGTACATATATAATATATAATAATTATAATTTTTTATTGCTAATATCGTAACGCGGTTATTGGGGAGGTCGTCTGACCAATTTATTGTTTTATTCCCACCCACGATCAAACACTTACCGTTGACTAGATTGAATCTTTTGGATAGAGCACTGGCCACAATGAAACGTCCCGATCCTATAGGGCCGATTATTGCCACTCTGGGCACAAACGGAACGTCTGACGGTTTTTGACATGCTATTTGATCTAGGCATAATTCAGTAATCTCGTCGATCGATTTAGACTGTACATTGATTTCCTACCCAAATTAACAGCAAATATACGTGTAATATGGGCAGATGTTTGGTGGTTTATTGTTTGGCGATTTATGTTATATATATATCATTATAATAATGCGTTTTACTAACTTTTAAGGTGAACCGAAATTTTATTTTGATTTCAAATTCTAAGTTTTTGTAATTCAGATTAAAATTWTTTTTTGTCCGAGTATCACATRAAGCTGCAAATAAAAATGATAATACCTAATGATAACAATATAAATAATAAAATCATACACTGMAGTTGACGGTATACTAATGTAATAATATTATTTCATCTTAAACTGTTTCAACAGTAAAATTCACAACCTTCTTACCTGKAGCTTCTTTCAGCACGATTGTGTGTGTCGGTAAAATGCCAAGACTTATCATCATGTCTGCTTCTTTGTTACTATGTGGGATATCTATTTAAACATAAAAAATTTACAATATCCCAAATATTATGTCGGTTTCTTGAAATTACAAGACTTGTTTGTATTATATTACCTAAAAGTATCCATCCTTTTACAGACGCCCCTTTCGCTCTCATATACTCCCTCAACATGGTCATGAAATCCGTTGAATCACATTCGTCATCATCGTCTATCTAAATCACACGTGAACAATACACATAGAATAATATTTTTATCACTATAATAGCTTATAAGAACAATAGATAGATGTGGATTTATATTTTATATCAAACACGCTTTTCAAACTTCGAATCATTAATATCGTATACCAAGTAATTAAATTTCAAATATTTTTTGACCACGATGGTCATTGTACCTCAATTATAATAAGTTTTATTAGTAAAAATAAACTATTGTTATAAAGTTTTTACTCAATTATTATAATAACGATATTAAAATACCTTTTTTTTTAATCTTATTTTTATAACATTTAAATCAAAAAGTTTTAGGGTAAAGTAAACAAGGTACTTTTAAAACTTTATAACCTAACTGTGTCCAAATATAAAATACATTTTTTTTTAGAGATGGAGAATTTACGTAAAAAAAATATCAGTCAATTTACCAATAATGTGGTAAAAATGGTAAAATAGCTAAATCTTAGAGCCATTGTAATTTTTTACTATTAGAAATTAGTAAATACGATTTGTATTAGGTACTAATGTTGTATACCTACTTGTTAAATCTAGTTCTTTCTAATAATAACAATAATTATAACAAAAAATTTAAAAAATGAATCTAAAATATATAT